GGTGAAAGCTCAGTGGCACAGCCAGATCCTGGGGAGGGAGGCTTATGGACAGGATCAGGAATAAATTAGAAGCGGGAAGGCGACCGCTGGCCTCTACTCTCCATAGAGCCCTGAAACATGGCATCTACCTCCTGGCTGGTGATCAGGTGCTCAACTATGTCCTAACATCTAAACGCAGCTGTGTCTTCACAAGCATTTCCATTTTCATTTCAACTTCATAGGCTGCAAATGCTGCAGAGACTAAAGGTGGAAATGTGTTATCCTGTGTTAGGGTCCCTGGTATTTGTGTGCTTTATCTTTAATATTTTCAATTAAATCAGGAGGAATCATTATGCAAACCGTAATTTCAACATCCACAGGGAAATAATTAGTTAATTATCCTTGAGAAGTTTGTATCAGGACATCTAAATCTTTAGATAAGCAGCTAATTTAATTTAAGTTCTCCTGCTAAGATTTCATACTCTAGGGTAATATATTTAAAAAAGGGAAAATATGAGGACTCTAAGTGAAGAAAATAAGCACAATTATTAATAAATAGAAATTGGGCTGTTATACCTCTTAGGTCTCCAAAGGTCTTTCTCACATACCATCTCATTTATTCTTAAATAATAAAGCAAAAATTCCAAAAACAATATACCACAGTTATACTTGAGGAAGCTGTGTATTCAGGAAAACAATCTCCATTATTGACAACTAGTCATTTGTTTAAAAATTAAAGTTTAGTTAAGATTTAGATAAAGCACTTACCACTTTATATTGAAATTGTTGTGTTTTCATGTCAGTCTTTCCAATAGATGGGGAGCTCTGAGAATAAAAAGTACGTATTATTTATTTTCATACATGCCTAATGTCTGGCACCTAGTGAGCGAGCATCCACGAAAACCTGTTGAGTTAATTAATCCACTGTCAGTGGTGGCATGAGTATTTGGTGCTTCTGCTTCCCATCCACATTTACCGTGTTCTGGGTTGATTTCGTGTTCTTTACAGTTGTCTGCCTCTCCCTGCTCCTTTTTGTTCTATTTATGTACTTCCAATGGAAAGGCAAAGCCTGACCTCATTTCTTATCCCTCAGGCTCCTCTTCTTTATTAAGTTGAAACCAAAAATATTACACCATGGAAAGACGTTTGGTTCAAGCCCCTTTTCCCGTAGATAGCCATGCGGACATGAGATTTGATTTATTCTTTCATAATGAAATAAAAATTAACTTCATGGAAACAGTGCATACAGCCAGAGGTAATTCAGTGACTCAATGAATGAAATATTACATAACAAAACAGCCTAATTGGCTATTCTTGATTCAAAAAGCACTATGGTTTACAAAGTTTAATTTCTTTTCATTGTTTCCAATTCTGTCATTGTGTAGTAACTACTACATAACCCTCCCTGAAATCCTGCCTTCCTCTCAACCTTCAGCTCATTCTATTCCTGCCCTTGTAGGTGACCCACACCCACGCACGCTAGACTTCACTGGGACTGATTTAAAAAGTCACCGCACAAAAGGCAGGCCCCTGCTCTGCCTCCAGGAAGCTCCCAGCCCCCTCCTGCTCGCCCACCCCACCATTGTCCCACTCAGTTTCCAGGTTCCCCCTCGTGCTTACAGTTAGGGTTTGTACCCCGGCCCCCGCGCTTTCCTAGTGACGTGGATCAATGATTCAGCCTGGACTTCTGTCCCCTTGGGATGGAACCCCCCAGATCTGCCTCCTCCCCCCACTCCCACAGCCCCGGCCAGCACGCAGTGCTCCGCCGCAGGCCACAGAGGAGCAGAGCACCCCTGGGAGTGCAGACCTTGGGGAGCCCAGCCTGGCAGGGGAGGGAGGCTGCAGGCGCCAACTCCTCAAGCTGCCACCCGTCATTGTCACCTGTCATATTTACACATTTTAGATCCTCCCCCCCCCCCTTGTAAGCTTCCCTCAAACCTTACTTAGCCCATGAAGATTTGCACACCCAGCCTCTCCCATCCTCCCCTTTCCTGCTAAACCTCCGTCTCCGGTGAGGATGCCCCTGGCCACCGGGGGTGGGAGGTGGGACGTGTGAGCTCCTCCGTGATCACCTCTAGACCGTCCTCCCCACAGGCACCGCCTCATTAAATCCCTGCTCCACCACTAGTACCGCCACCTGGCCACGTAGACCCCGCATGGGCAACATTTTCTCCCCATACTCTGGTTACTCCCTCTCATTCATTCATCTCCAGGCAGCGGGTCACCGAGATCGTCCTCACCTGAACTGTTCTCCACCACCTGGCCCAACCTCTCTCCTCCTGGTCTATCGGTCATTCCCACCATTCTTGTTCTTCAAACTCTTTAGGACATCAACCCATTCCCTTCTCTGCGCATCAGCCCTCTTCCCGCCTCACTCTGCTTTGGTCCAAGGTCCTAACTCCCAGTGTTCACAATTTCCTCTCTCCTCCCTGTGCTTCCACGGCCCCTGCCCAGCCAAGCCGTGGGTGAGTCAAGCCATCTGCTGTCTCTGTGCACACGTCTGGGACGTCAAATGCTGCTGTGGAAACTGAGTGTGCTAGGGCAGGGCCGTCCTCCCTGTCACCTGCTTCTCTCCATCCCGGCAGGCGCCACGGGGTGCAGGAAAGGGTCCGCTCGGTCCTCAGCTCACCCGGAGTCTCTCAGCTCATCCCGCGGTCCGGGTCTTCCTCCTGCCTCACCGCTGGCGCTCCCACTCACCTCCACTGCTTCTTTCTCAACCCCTTGCTGGGGGTGCTCAGGTTCATCCTCTATCTTCTCCCCCTCAGTTAGACTTACTCCTTAGATAATCATCTCATCTCTCGTCTTTAAATACTATCCAGACGCTGATAACTCTCAAGTGTGTGTATTTAGCCTGGGCCTCTCCCCTGAATTTCAGAAACGGCCTTCTTGAATTTTTGTCTAGAGTATCTCGTAGGCATCTTGACTTTCCTATGGCCCAAACCCAATTCTCCACCTCCCCCTCAGCCCCACCTTTTTGGTATTCATGCCGTCTTCCTATAAGGAAGGCAGCTTCGTCATTTTATCTCTCTTAAGTCAAAAACTTAGAGTCATCCTTGACTCAACAATTTCTTTTAAAACTCCATCTAATTTGTCAACAAATCCTGTCAGCTCTGCTTCCTGACCTCCTCCACACAGAAGGGCACTGGAGAATATTGCCCTTTACTTAAAAGTCCTTTCATCTCAACCATTAATGTCATTTAAATGCAGCGGTCACAAGGAAACCAGTTCACAATGGTCCTCAACCTTGGCTGCACACTGGAGACCCTAGGAGGGGACTTTTTAAAAAAAGTCTGGTATCCATATTCCACCCCCAGAGCTCTCTGTCAGTTGGTGTGGGGTATGGCCTAAAATTTTTAAAAGCCATTCCTGGGCCTGACCCAGATGGTTCTAATGTACTGCTAAGTTTTTGAACCACTGTAGTAGAGCTTAAAAATAAGGAGAAACTCATGAAAATCATTAGTATTACCCAGTTGTCTTGCCAGTGGGTTTCAGACCTGGGCAAATTCACTATGGATTCAATGCGACCAAAGAAATGACAGCAAAATGTTCTTTGGGGTGAAAGGGTTTACTACCTGGCTTGTTCTCCCAGCAGTAGGTCAAGCACTAGCATCTCCCTCTGGGCCGAGCTCTATAAAGTGCAATAATAGCTTATTGCCTAAAGGTGTGGAAGTGGTAGCCTAGCAACAGGCCAGTTACATCATCAGGTGGTTTAACTTCAGTGAGGATCCTGGCCATAGGAACCCCAACTTCCCCACACCAGTGTTTAAATATCAAGTAGATTTCAGAATCAGTATCTGTCTTGTCAGCTCCTTTCAGCCCCAGGACAAGTTTGCTATGGATTTAATGAGACAGAAAAATGACAGAACATTCTTGTAATGAAAGGGGTTATACCCAACTTTACTACCACGGTGGCAGGTCAATCACTAGAATTTTGTCCACTCAGAGTGAGTCTGCAGGCAGCAAGCTGGTCTCTGCCTCTGGGCCTCTCTGCCCCCGCAGCTGTCTCAGCCCCTGTCCTCAGCGCTGCCACCACTCCAGCCTCTGTGCTGCCCACACGTGTGCAGTGAGCAAGCTGACCAGGGCCAGGTGAGAATCCTGCCCACAGGAACCTTAACTCTCTCCACAGTATCACACACTAAAAACAACATCTCCAAGTTAAACAATAATTAAAAGTGGGAGGCTGTGTCAATGTGTTATCTATCCTCTTGAATGAACCTTATAATTTTAATCTTTTATAATCTTTTCTGACTCATTTTTATAAGAATCTTTGTTTTAAATATTGATCATTTGGCAAGGAAATCCTACCACTGGCTATACATTGGCTGGAAATCACCAGATCTCAGGTCTGGTTCCTCTCTGTGTTTGTTTTTTAAGCACAGACATTTTTCTGTGAATTTTGAGGGACATGAGCTGAAGAGCTCATCTCAGTTTTAGGCAGGGTTGAAGGAGTTTAACAATTTAACAAGGCCAGTTTTTATCACCTTGACTTTCAATTTTCTTTTTCAATTTTCACTCCTTTTTCCTCCAAAGGCCTTGAGGCTGTGGTTTACAGGCTCCTCATGGGTTTCCAGTTACAAACAAGGGGAAAGAGACAATTGGGAAGCAGAGAATGATCCTGCAAAGGACTCTCAGGCACCGGTGGGTGGGGAAGTAGGAGGCAGAGGAGCTGGGAGAGCAGGTAAGGAGTTTGTGGGCCCTGGGAGGGGGGCTCTGCCATCAAATTAGAACCTAACATTTCTCTTCATCCTAATTCCTATTTTTCTCTGATCAAAATTTATAAATGTTTCTACCTGTTTACTGGAATTAAAGACTATTCCCGGTTAACCCTAAAATATGGACTGAGTTGCTTGATTTTCCTATTAAATTCTTCCTCAGATGCTTATTGTTCAAGGGATATGCCACCTGAAACCTGAATTGCACTTCTTTTAAAACATGTTGACCGGAGTGCAAAATCAATGAAAACAAGTTCTTGTTTGAAAAAATCCCTAAAAGAGAATGAAGCAAACTCAATTTTGTGGTGCATTTTACTTTGTTTTATTTTATTTTTACACTTACTTTACCAACCCTTGTACTTCAACCTTAAATCATGAGTACATTTTTCAAAATATTTTAAACAAATGATAAAATGTTAATCACACTATGAAAACAAATATCACAAAATATCTTCTCTGATCACAATGTTATCCGAACATTTAGCTGTAACTCTGTATGTGACTGGTAACACTTGTTTATTTCACTCATTTCTAATTTGTCTTATAAAACAGGGAATTTTTCTATTTATCAAAAATTGTCAAAAAAACAAACAAACAAGAACAAGCCTTTCTCTTCAGTGCTGCGTATCAAGGGTCTTCTTTGTCACCTCCTCTTGGAATGCTAACCAGCCAACCCTACCTTCCCTCCTCTAACCAAGGCAATGACGGTCTGTGCAGGAAATCTAAATCTGGCCCGCAGCACCCCAGTGATTTTCCAGGAGAGCCAAACAGAGGAAGCAGAGCTGAGAGGCTTGTGTTCCTTTCCGGGTGCCTGCCGTGCAGAGCTGGGAGAAGTCTGCTACCTAGTGGAAGACAGAGGCCACGGCGGTTACTCGGAATGGCAGTTCGGTGCCAGTGCCTTAAGGCCACCAAGGAACCGCGCCTGGAGTCCTGGGCTGTGGTCTCAAGAGGATGCTCAACAGCAGCAAACAATACTCAAACCCAAAACTCAAAAGGTTCCTTTGTATGCATGAAAACTGCACAGTAGTGAGCTACAGAAAATGCCTCTTCAGAAAGTAATGCCACGTTTTACTTAACAAATCCCATCTCATTTCTAGTGATTATCAATATATTTATTCTGTGTGTCTTTTCCTAAACAATGGTGAGAACACAAGGTGGGAGTATACTTATCCTCCATTATGGTTCAAGTTGTATACAGTTTCTATACAGAGAACGTTTTCATCGGCTCAGATGTGAAATCTATCTCAGTTTATGGTTGTTCAAAAACTACTAACATGTTCAAGTAAAGTTAAGGGATTAGGAAATGGCGCCCAGGCTAGGCCACTCTGAGGTATCCATGCTCCCTGTTGATTTGGTCACACATTTCTAGTTTGCTTTATGTCTTAAATGATCTACTTTCCATTAAAGTGGCTCATGCCCAGGTATCTTACAAAGGCCTCCGTCCCCTGGCCCACCCCTTCCCGCCTCTAGTCCTGTTCCCCAAGGTAAATACTTGTAGTTAGTCTGTTAGCTCCTGCTTTTGGCTTTTTCCAACCTAATCTCCTTAAACAAAATGCTCCTGCCGCTAGCTAGCTCCTGTAGCTAGACCTGGTGGTGGTGGGCTGCCTTCATCTGGGCTCCCTCAGAAGCTCACCCCAAGACAAGGATTCATGGGCAGGTTGCAGAGGGAGGATGAGGCAGGGAAGGGAGCCAGGAAAGAGCACGTCAGCACACCAGCTGCCACTGTGGGTGCCTGGAGCCAGACCCCAGTGCAGAAGTGGGAGCCAGGGAGAAGGGAGCCCCAGGTCACCAGTTTGGGGCAACACTGGTCACACGGGCAGCCAAGTAAGCCCCAGTGGCTGGAGTTTCTCCTGAGGAAGCAAAGAAATGCAGAGTCTGGCAACCGGACACAGAGCTCCTGTGTGCAGCCACAGTCACCAGAAATCACTTTGAATCAAAGACTCTTATATCTTTTGCAAACATCTAAGTTACCTGCAGAGAGGATGCTGGGGGTCCAGGGGGAAGAGAAGTGCTATTAAGAGCAAAGAGAAAAAGGGCTGAACCCAGAGGCTGGGAAGGAAACAAAGGTTAGTGGGTCCAAAATTAAGAGAGATTTGTATTCGGCTCCTCACTCCTTCAGAATGGAAAGGCCAGACGCCAGGCACAGATATCCCACATCCTACCAACTAGCCCCATGCCACGCACAGCACAGCCATTGGGGCCGAGAGACCATGCTGGCTGGAACAAAGAGCGCCTCAGCAGTGACTGGTGGGCCGAGACCAGTGTGCAGAGGATCCAAGACCCCAGGTCGAGGGCATAAACTGGGTGGTCTAAGAGCTTCCCACTGGATTTAAGCTGCCTTGAAATTAGGAAATGCCATGTTTTTTGCACATACCAGCTGGCTAAGTAATGTACATGTGGGATCTCCCGTGGGGGCTGAGTGATGCATATCTGCAGCCAACATTGATTACAGGTACTGAAATTTAGGCTAATTCATCCTGAGCTCGTGGCCATGACTGTGTTGTTGAACTGGTATAAAGACAAATGTAAACTCAGAAAACATAACTGACTAGCGAATACCAAGGGTCTGCAATAAACTTAGGTTTGATAGAGTATCTTCGAATGCTTTAAAATCATTCGACACCAGCACCTTATTCAAGAGTAACAAAATACAAATCACTTCTTTGTTACTATTATCCTGACTTTGTGAAAGTGAATTCAAAGCGGTACAATATCAACTAACAAATAAATAAGTAAAAAGATTGTTTCCAATATTGCACAGTTCATATATACATTATAAACAAGCAAATGCTGGGCAGATAATCAGAGGAGTGAGGGCACTGATAACCTTGTTAGTTTGCCAAAATTAAAGTTCTCTGATTACTAGGAAAGTATCTAGAAAGATGTTAACTAAGTCAACTTTTCTTTTTAAAAATTAAAATTCTCCCCAGAAAGCGGAGAGATGTAGAGTGCCAAAATACATGCTACCTGGGGAAAGGGCAACATGTTGGGACAGCAGAAAACTATTCTGCTTGTCATTATATACAGTTACCAGAAAAGGCAGGTGCTGTTCTTGGTATTGAGTCTCCCACTCCCAGAGACACATCTGAATCCTGGATGGGAAACGTCACCAAGAAACTGCGGCTACTGCAGCACTGGAGGCCGAGAAATGGAGAAATGCTCGGCTCGGGTGCCCCGCAGAGGCCCTCTCGGGCTTCAGGGCTTCCTCCCTTCCCTCCAGCTTACCCCACTCCAGCCACACTGGCCGCTGGATGGTCCCTTGGCCTGGAATGCCCTCCGAGCCACCACCGGCCGTCCCCATAAGGAGCACCTTCAGAATTCACTCAAACAGCACCTTCTCGGCGAGGCCTGCCTTCCGTCAGACTGCAGCTCCAACACTGCGTCTGCACCTGTCGCCACCTGACATGAATATGGCAGCTTTCACTTAGTGTGCCTACTGCCTGTCTCGCTACTAGACAAGCTCTGTGAGGAAAGGTGCTGTTTTGTTCACTGCAGTGCCCTTGGCACCTCAAAGCGTCTAGCACATAGTGTTTCATACACACTCACTGAAAGAACAAATGAGAACATAAATACTTAGGGAAAAAACTCGCAGGTGGTCCTGACACGGGTGCTTCTGCTTTCACAGCAAAAGGCGCGATAGCGGCTCTGGCTGAGCAACCGAGTACAGGGCATGGGGGCCCGCTGACACCCGGAGAACCTGCTCATCCACCGAGAAAACACAAGAGCCAGAAAGCCTCCCCACACCTGCCGGAGGGCTGTGAGCAGAGTCTCCAATTGCCCTGTGGTCAGAGGGCAGCAGTGGGTCGGCCCAGGCAGCGCGGACCTGAGCAAACAGCAGGGCGTGCTCTCCCGGAGTGCCCTGAGTGAGCAGCCCGCCCCACCCGCCTCCCACGACAGAGCCTGGCAAAGGAGGGAGGGGAGCGCTGCTGGTTGCCCCCCTCTAAAAATATCATTACCCCTTTGGTGCTCTTCTCAAAAAAAAAAAAATTCCATGAGAACAAAAGGGCTGGCAAAATTCCTTTCAGGGATATGGAAATCATACCACACTTTTATACATGGGACCTGTTGTAAAGCTTGAGCAGAATAGTGTAAAATACAATCCCTGTTCAAATGAAGGTTATTCTCTTGATGCAGATGAAAGACTAAGAGGCAAGATGTAAGTCTGGCAGCATTTTTCTAACAAAGGGTTCCTGAGGGCAGAGGAGGGCCGATATGTTACCCCTGGAGTTTGGGTGGCATTCTAGTTAAAACACAGACATTTCCTTTGTGGTTTTAAGTTTTATTTCACTTTGTTTTTAATATATTTTGTACTTACTTGTAATCTGCATTATAAAAAAACTTTTATATTACTTACCACTTAAACTTACTTAACTTTTGCCTCCCACAACTTCCAGGAAAACTGATATTTCACCAAGATGTGCCAATAAATCCTGCAATTTTGGATTCTCCTTGATGCTGTGAACCCCCAGGGATGTAACTGTAATTATAAGTGTGGACTTGTGATATCACAAAAACCACCTTCTTATGCCAAAATGTATGATAGAGACAACAACTGCTATGACTTCAGGAAAAGCCAAAATATTTGGAAAGACTATATGGAGTCAGATGTGAAAAATATTACTCAAACTACTGCCAGTGACGTGACCTGTATGACACAGGTTTCTTTTTGCGTCAGTTATACTATTTCTTAGAAATGAGGAGACAAGTCATTTTAAAAACAAACATACATGTACTTTTTTAATATAAAGGGATGCAAATGCAAAAATGCCAGAAATAAAGCTATCTTCAACTCCAGGCTCTTTTCAAAAGATACAAGATCATTTTTCTCAAAACATACAAGATGCACAGATAAATCACATACATACCTTATAAATGTTAATTAGCAAACAATTTTACTTCATAATGAACAATGACTATTTTTCAGTAGCTTGAAATTTCAGTTATTCATGCCAAAATTTTTGAGTAAAAAAATCATGCACCTTGTCATTTATGTATTACTCAAAAGTACAAACAGCCCTGAAAATAGAGTCCCATGCTTATCATTTGTATCATAAAAATAGTGAGACATTTATCAGGCATAGCTAATACAATAAAAACTACATTTTAGAATATGTTTCACAAATACAAATCCAACACTTCTCTTTGGTTCAGAAAACGTTAAGAGGTAGGTTTAAACAGAATAAATGCCTACTATGTCACTAGATTGTCATTAAAATGTTGGCAATTTAAATCAGAAATTACTAGAAATTACAAGTTTAGGAACTAATAAGAATAATTTCAAATAATAAATGTTTTTCTAAGTCCTAGTCACACAAATCAGAAAAGATAGTTGACTACAAAGATGACTTTAATAAAATAAAAACATGATATTGATAGTATAAATTAGGTTGCATCTATCATAACATGTTCCTAAAACGTGGGGTAAGAGAGAGTATATATGTACAATGTTTATAAATTGGGCCTTTCATTAAACATAGGTACCTAACATATATGATTATTATAGGCTACTATTAATACGTACTATTGTCCTAGGTTTGTATGCCCAAATTGAAAATTGCAGGCTCAAAGAAACTGGATAGTGAGGGGGAAATGATAATGTCACTCACCTGTAATCAACCCACTCAGGTAATCAAGAAATTTCAGATAACCAAGAAGGGTCCTTGAAGACTTGGTGATTAAAACAGAATCTGATTCAAGCAGGAAAAAGGGACAAAGAAAAGAGAGATGCTCTTCAGACACTGATAGAAGTAAAAGGGTTTTGTTTCCTGATATTTTTCAAAGCAATAACAGAATAAAGGGCATTGTGTTGATAACATAAGAGTAACAGACTGACCATGAGTGTATCAGCCCAGGAACCAAACCACAGCACAGCAGTAGCGGAGACAGACCCGCTGACATTTTATCACTCCACCTCACACAAAAGTAGTATGAATGGACTCGGGTGTTCACATGCCTTAAACCTTTGCCACGTATGTTCTTATTTGACTTAAAGAAAGGTAAAGATGTACGTTTTATTAGTTATTTGGCTACTGTGAAGTATACTTTCATGCAATGATTTTTTTATTACTGGTTCTACAATAAAATTTTAATAAGTCTATGAAGACATTCAAAATACATAAAGCAATTTGAGTTTCAAGGTTTTCTATTTTCTAGTCATTCTGTTTTTAAGACACTTAAGTTTAAAGGAACTGGCATAAACTCGAATCAACCAAAATAAAGATTAATGGTCTATAATCCTACCACACAAAACAAATTTAATTCAAGCTGTATATTTGTTAGATTTAGGATTCAGTGTAGGGATTTGTGAAAAGGACAAATAAGAAAAAAGATAAAACACAACTTTGTGATTTTTAACATTTCTGTACATATAAAATTGAGCCCAAATGTCTGAAGTGATCATTGATCTGCTCTTCCCTTTTCTGAAAAAAGTAGGACTCCTTTTGCCAGAGACTTGTAGCAATTCTAGGAGAAAAAGTCATAATTCAGAGACTGCTGAAAGTTTCAATAATGTGGCTAAAGCAAAAAAATTCAACATGTCATTTCTGGGTTGCTCCTAGAGTTTGTTTCATATTTTCATAAACCACATAGCTAATGCCTACAGCAGGGAGCACTTTCATGAAGTTTGGGGTGATGCCTCTGTCAAGTCCCGGTATTCCTTCTTTGAAAACTATTCGTCGAAAGAGGCCCCATGTTCACCTGTGGCGTTCCTTCTACCATGGCTAGGAAATAAGAGAGAAAACAGGTTAATTTAATCTTCAAGCATGTTTGGTTATTATACACATTATGATTTGTGTATTTGTTACCATTCACATTATGATTCAGAATGATATGCTAGAATACAATGAAAGAATAAAACATATTCCAAGGGGCCCAAGAAAGTACCCCTTTATGACTGTCCTTGTATGGCACCTAATAGTGGGTGCCCTGATTATGATAATGGTGGGAATAACAGTTATTTGTTGAGTGTAATATTACTATGTGCTAGATATTGGGCTAATTACTTTATATACCAATAACAAGTATTATTATATATTGTTTTATAAGTGAGGAATTGGAGGCTTACAAAGATGCAGACACTTACCTAACACACTTGGCTAGCAAGTGGGAGAGCTGAGAGCTGATGGTCTTTCTGCTCCAAAGCTCATGTGCTCTCTACCATCTCACCCTGCCAGCACCCCCACCCCCAACCATTAGCCAAGTGTTGAGGGCAGACAGTTCGATCTTGGGAAGTAAGGGGAGTTGGGGAACACTTTGGGGAGAAGAGGAAAATACAGGGTCCCTGGTCCTTGAAAATGACCTCAATAGGCAAGAAGGAGAGGAAGGGAAAACGGTGTTGCCGGAGCAGCAGACGAGGGCAGAAACACTGGGCTACCGGGTCACCACTCCCTGCAGGAGGCGGTGATGACTCCCGCCAGAGGGGCTGGCCGCGGGAGGGCGACAGAAGGGTGAGGAAATGGAGGCGCGGCGAGAAAATTCGAGTGGGCCAGATTATTAAAGGCATCCCACCAAGAATTTCAGAATTTATTCTGAAGATACTGAAGAGTCACAAAGACTTCTGAACAGGAATAAAATGATCAGACCCCGGCTTCAGAAACAACACACTTATCAGCCACCCAAGACACGGAACGGGAGTCAGCAGGTGGGAGGAGACGACTGGTTAGGCAATGCTTTCAATCAGACAGGCTGGATTTGAAGTCTGGCTCTGCTAGTTACCCAAATGCATAAATGCATAATCTTAGGGAAGTTACTTAATCTCTTTTCGCCCCAGTTATCCATATGCAAAATGGACGTAATATTAGTGTCGACCCCAAAGATGGTTGTGATGGTTAAATGAGAGAATACACATGAATGTTTAGTTTAGTACTTGGCCTCTTCCTCTCCAGCCATATGGCCTCCTTTCAGCTCCTCTGGCGTGCCCATTTTCTCCTGCCTCAGTGCCTTCACATATGCTTTTCCTCAGGCTGGAAGGCTCTTTCTTACCCACACCCCCTCGCCCCAATTGCCCAGCTAACTCCCACTTGCCTTTCCAGGCTCAGCTTCAATGACAACATTCTGCGGCTCCCAGACAAGGCTGGAAGCCCTTGCTCAGTGCCCCTCCCCCCGAGGGAAGGGGCTTAATGAGGGTGTTTGCTTGCTGAGTGTGTGTCTCCACTCCCCCATGGCAGGGGCCACACCTGACCTGAGGACTGCTCTCACCCTAGCATCCGGCAGAGTGTCCAGCACCCAACAGTGGCTCAGGAAATATTCGTTAATTAAAGACTGACTGCTTGGTTAGGGAATGGGTAGTTGGGTGCTTAGAAGACGGGTTGAAGAAATAATTGCAGATGCCCAGGTGGACTATTTAAAGAAATGACAGTGGGTGAGTGAGAATGGCCAAGGTAGAAGGAGCAACAAAGGAAAGAAAGGCACAGAATGGATACTTTAAAATAGCAATAAAGGCCAGGAAATCATAAGAAAAGAGAATAATCAATGAGATGGCAGGAGAGCCAGGAGGGTGTACTGTATTCAAGGCCCAGGGAGGAGACAGTGTCACACAGGCAAGGATCACAGTCCAAAAGCTGTAGGGTCCAGTAATAAGAAATAATTCCAGCCACCATTTACCAAGAATTCAACAAAGGCCAGGTGCTTTACATATATTGTTGCTAATTCTTACACTATTACATGGTTTTCATTCCCATTTACAGAGGAGAAAGTGAAAATCCAAAGTAGTTCAGGGCAAGAATCTGAACCATCTAGATATTAAAGGTTATACTCTTAAAACATGTATTCTCAGCACAGGCAACAAAATCATACTCTGTTTATGAATTATGTACATATATGCATATGTGCAGTGCACCTATGGTATTAAAATTTCATGAAAAGGGAGTGATTAGGAAAAGAATTTCTAAAAAGATTCCTTAGGAAGACAATCAGGAAAAAAAGGTTAAGAAACACTATCTTACAACCACACTCTGCTGTCTCACCAGAAAATGAAGTTCCAGAAGCATGTCACTAATGCGGCACGTTTACCACCGTCCCTCTTTCATCAGAAACTCGCCTTGAGCCTGCATGCATGTTCTCACCAAAGCCAAGGGGTAGCTGGCCAGCTGACCACAGGTGCTGGATAAAGCGCCACATCCCAGCAGAACCATGACTCCAGGGTTGACAGAGTCTTTAGCAAAATTATCTAGCCAATAGGACTTCAAGAGCTGCCAGAGAAACAGAAAAGAAGAAAAATAATGAACAAGTAATTTTATAGCTGCTTTCACACAACATGAACATTTCCCAGCTGCTCTTGTCCTTATGAGAGGCAGGCCACATTTCTGCAAGATTGGCAGTACAGTCCCAAGAGCAGCAGCCCTGCAGAGGGGTGGATGAGCCACGGGGGATTCAGAACACAGGAAGTCTGCACTGGCTGCTCATTTCTTCTGAAGAGTATTAATAAGAGTAATATACTACTAATTGTATGTAATTTTGTACTTTACACATGTTTTTTCATTTAGGCCTTTTACAAAAGCTCTGAGGTGGAGCTATTCTTCTGATTTCAGAAATGAGGAAAACTAGTATCAGTGGATACAGAATCAAGTATACTGACCCCCAGGCCACGCTTTTTTCCCTATTATCCTAGGTCCCTATAATTCCAGGCAATAGCTGAGAGAAATGGTATAAAATATATGTGCTAATCCATCTTTTAACTATAAAATATTTTAAGTATAAAACCATATGCTGATATGTGGGAAACACTGTATTTCCTTCTGGTAGCCCAAGTATACTAAAACACTACACCCAAAGCAATATACAGATTGAATGCAATCCCTATTCAAATCTCAACCAGCCTAAAATTCATACAGAATCTCAAGGGTGCTGAGTATAGCCAAAACAATCTCAGAAGAGAAGAATAAAATTGGAGGCTTCACAGTTTCTGATTTCAATATACACTACAAAGCAACAGTAAGCAAGACGGTGTGGTACTGGCATAAAGAGAGATACATAGCTCAATGGAACAAAACAGAGCTCAGAAATACTATTGAAAGTATGTCCAAACGATCTTCAACAAGAGTGCCAAGACTATACACTAGGGAAAGCACAGTCTTTCTAATAAATGGTGCTGGGAAAATTGGATATCTGCATGCAAAAGAATAAAGCTGTACTATTATCTTATACATATATAAAAAAACTAACTCAAAATGGATTAAAGACATAAACATAAGACCTAATCCTACATAGCATAAAAGCTTCAGGACATTGGATTTGGCAACAGTTTCTTGGAAATGACACCAAAAGTACAGGCAACAATAGCAAAAACAGACATATAGGCTTCACTAACTTAAAAATTTCTGTGCAGCAAAGGAAACAATCAACAGAATATAAAGGCAATCTATAGAATGGGAGAATACATTTGCAAATCATATATTTGATTAGGGTTAATATCCTAAATACGTGAAGAACTCCTATAACTCAAAAACAATTTAAAAAAATGATTATAAATTGACAAAGGTCTTGGATAGATATTTCTCCCAAAAAAGATAAGTAAATGAACAAGCATATGAAAAGATGCTCAATGTCACTTATCATCAGAAAAATTAAAATCAAAATAACTAGATAATGCTTTTGATTCATACCTGTGAGGAAGCCACTACCAAAAAAACTCACCAAAAAAACAAAAAACAAAAAAACCCCAGAAACCATCAAGTATTAGCAAAGATGTAGAGAAATTAGAACTCTTGTGCACTATTTGTGGGAATGAAAGGGTGCAGCTGCTATGCAAAACAGTTGAACAGTTCCTCAAAAAGCTTAACAGAATTACCGTATGATCCAGCTGTTCTACACCTAGGAATATACCCAAAGCAATTGAAAGCACAGCCATACCGACAATAGCCAAAAGGTAGAAACAGCTCACATGTTCATCCACAGATGAACAGATACACAAAATGTGGATATATATAGATACAATGGTATACTATTCAGCCATAAAAAGAAAAGAAATTCTGATACATGCTACACATGGATGAACCCTGAAAACATGCTGAGTGAAATAAGCCAGACAAAAAAGGACAAATATTGCATGATTCCACTCATATGAAATAACTAGAACAGGCAAATACAGAGAGTCAGAAAGTAGATGAGATGTTAACAAGAGCTGAAGGGAGAAGAGGGGGGGAATTATTTCATAGTTGTTACAGAGTTTATATTTGGGGTGCTGAAAAAGACCCGGAAATAGATAGTAGTGATGTTGCACAACACTGTGAATGTAATTAATGCCCTGGAACTAAACCCTTAAAAATGGTTAAAATGGCAAATTTTACATGATACATATTTTACAATTATAAAATTAAACTTTTAATTAAATGCCCAAAGCCATTGAATTTTATACTTTATAGGAGCAAAAGTGAATTACATCTTAATAAAACTGTAAAAAAAAAAAAAAAGGTAAAGTTCTCTAAGGAAGCTTTCACTACACATTCCACCCCTCCCCTCAGCTCTAGGTTGGGACCCTTCCTAATTTACCCAGGCTTCCTACCTCTGTCGCAGCTCAACTAACCACACTGTGAGTTAGCTGTCTGCACGTCTGCCTCCCCCACTAGACCTTCAGTTTTCTAAAGGCAGAAACCAAGTCCTCCTTTCAATTTCTAGATCCAGTGTCTAACCAGTGGCTTGCCCATAGTGTGTGCTCAATAAATGTTAGTCAGAGTCATAAATTATTAAATGCTTTAAGTGACACGGTTGATCCAAGATCTGTAGTCTGAGCTGTTTCTTCAGTAAAAGGGATGAATCTGTGCTATCCATATCAGTCTTTTGGCCTTATCAATGTCAGATGTTAACAAATCAAAGAAAACGTGCCATTTTTGCTTATTTTTTCTCCCCTCAAAAAAATCCCTAGTACTACCTTCTAAGCTGAACAACTATATCCGAATGTGAGATCACTCTCTTCACTAATAAAAATAATTCACAGGGAAATCTAATATAAAAGTGACCACAGGTATATGGAGTCTCATATTCAAGAAACTTGAAAAAGAAAGATCAAATAGCAGACCCCTGAATCTACTTTTGGTCACAAACTGTTTCCTGGCATATATGTATGTTTTTACATAAAGTCAAATTCTAACAATAAGAAATATTTAACTACATTTTCAGACTCAACAAACAGATGGGTACATTTTCACATTCAAATAAATGTCACAAACTCACCTCATACACAGCAAGATCTATACCTGCGTACGGTATGATGCCTAATAAGTTGGGAACATAACCTTTGTAAAAAGCTCCCATGCCTTCATGTTTCAAAATCTTCTTGGCACAATCGAATATTCCAGAGTATTGTCCAGTTTTGCCTATAGCTAGCCTGGTTTTCAAAACCTGGTTATGAAAAAATTTTATAAGAATGTTACTGTTCATATTAATTCATCATGGAATTTAAAAGAAGTAATTTTATAGAGAATAAAAACCTAGCACATACGGTTACTCGAATGACCCCACTTGTCGATGTGTTCTCCCTCACGTTATTCTCTCTGTTGAGAGGCCGAGACCAGAACCCAGAGGACCCTTATTGCAAAGAGGATCTGAATGAGGGCAGAGGCAGAGAAAATGGAGAGAAGATAATCTATTGATGTCTTCACAAAATTGGTGGCCAATTAGAAAAGGAAGGTGAGGGAAATGGTAGTGTAACGGATGACTCCAGTGCTTCGAGCTTGGAACACAGGATGGGGGCAGCAGGGAGGTGGGAAGGTGATGCTATGAGCTGAACTGGAGGACATAAAAGAAAGGCTGGGTACTGAGGATATTTTTTGAGGGGTGTGCAAGGAATGCTATATTAATATGCATAGCCCAAAAATGAAAACCAAAAGTATATTGTGCTTGAGTCTTATCAGTTACTGAAAAACCTTCTGTCATATCAATAAAGATATCTACATCCACAATATTATTTTTGCTCTAGAGGAGCAAATTTTTCTTTTTAAGAAAGACCACCACTGTTAGCTCAAGGGCTGTGTACAAAGTTGTCCACAGGTCCATGGTTTGCCAATTTGTGCTCCAGAAGGCGGTAAGTTATGACTACCACCAGCTAATTGAATCTTGAGGCTTCATTTTTAAATTTATGGTACATAAACCCTTTGGAGAGGAATGGGTGTTATAATTCTCATCCACACTGTGGCAGCCAGCCTTCCAAGAAGGCCCACTCCCAGGCCTCCCCTTCTCCTGGTATTCACACCCTGGGCAGTCCCGTCCACCGGGGTGGTCTGTGTGGCCAACAGAAGACAGCAGAAGGGACACAGGACTGCAGCCTCCACCTTGGATGCTCACTCACACTCATGTGCTTTCCCCCTCTTAGATGGTGGACTTGAGGAAACCAGCTACACGTCACGAGAACACTCAAGCAGCTATGGAGATGCAGACTGACGTCTGCAGCCCATGACCAGGCAGGCCTGGCAACGGACACAGGAGTGAGTCTGGAAGCAGATCCACCTCAGCAGAGTCTTTCAGTGACTGCAGCCCTGGGCGATACCTTGACGGCAGCCTCTGAGAAACTCTGAGCCAGAGGCACCCAGCTAAGCTACTCCTGGACCCCAGACCCACAGAAACCATGAGAAAATATATGCTGTTTGTTTTAAACTGTTAATTTTGGGATAACTTGCTACACAGCAATAGATAATTAATACAAACACCATTAACGCAGTCAGACTTGACAATGGTACTTACCTCCATAGGACAAATGAAAGTCTGTGCTGTTGCTCCAGCCATGGAACCAGAAACAAATCTCTCAAATGTCCCTATTTTCTGCCCTTCCTCAGTAAGCAACTTCTTGTATAAAATTTTAAATGCACATTAATTAATACCTCCTACAGACTGAATGGTATCTCCTCCCAATGCAGATTGTGGAGCCTGCCCCCCAGTATGATGACATTTGGAGGTGGGGCTTATAGGAGGTGATCAGGGTTAGAGGAGGTCATGAGGGTGGGATCCTCATGAGGGGGTTCATGCCCTTCAAAGAAGAGGCACCAGAAAGTTTTTTCTCTCCCCTTCCCTCTGTCTCTCTCTCCACATGTATGCATCAAGGCGAGGCCAAGTGAGCACACAGTGAGAGGGTGGCCATCTGCAGGCCAGGAAGGGGGCCCTTCCCACAGACAAAGTTGGTCAGTGCCATGATTTTGGACACCCAGCTCCAGAACTGTGAGAAATAAATTTCTGTTGTTTAAACCAACACTGAATGGTATTTTGTTAGGGCAGCCTGAGCTAAGACAGTACCAAAATATAAATGAGCTCCTAGAAATCAAATAATTGACAATATGATGATATTTCTTAAAGGGCAGACACTGCATTAACAATATATAGAAGAAAGCAGAGCTTAAATGCGGATACGTTCCATTTACTGTACAGGAGGTTTCAAGTTAGATTTACAGAGAACACAGATGTTCCACAGATGGGACCCAGTTGCTCCTTTGATTAAACAGAATGTTGTTCTTTCCCAGATGCATTATCCCAGGATTAATAAAGTGCTCATAATTTTTTGGCTATTTTCCCCATAGTTTTCTTTTTTCGAGGTGAGCTTATTTTCACGAGGACAAATAAAACTAATAAATATGTGGCAAACAAACATTAACAGAACAACTTAAAAAACATTTTTATTAGTGATACATAGAATTATACAAACACACCAAGCCCAGTGCCCATGTGGCCCACTGGTTCTAAAGCAGCAACACAGCTGATCCGGCCAACTGCGCAAATCTGACCCCACAGCAGCCAAAATATCAACAGGCCAGTATGTTAATAACGGGAGCTCCTGAGTCAGGGAGATCTAGGCTGGAACCCCAGAAACAGGTGGCCTGGAGCAAGTTCATGAACATTCCATGCTGCATTGCCCTCCCCTGTGATAACAGTGCCTATCCCATGGGTTGCTGACAGTTTTAAGTAAGATGATACATGTAGTACAGTGCCATGGTGGACACCCAGCAACTGGAGTACATGTTATCATTATTAATATATTATCTTTCTATATGAAGAGAGAAAAGCTGCCCAGACACAGACTATGCTCATAAGCCAAGCAAACCAAATTCCTTCTTAGAAGTGTGATGTGAGTCTGCAATAGTAATTAGCCCAACACCGGAGGGAGAAGTGGTTAAGTCATTAGAGAGAAGACAACACATGGAAAAGGGACAGGTCAGTGAAGGTCCACTGCCCCCCTTAATGCTGCAGGCATCCATACAGGGGCTCCTATTTCCCAAGCCAGCCAGGATTCTGTTCCTCAGGATCCAAAGAGCCCCATGCAAGTACACAAGAATACTTCTCCTAGTAAAACTGTATTTCTCTACTCATGGTAAAAATTACTTCTATTACTAAAACCCTAAAGAATCCACTCCATTAATTAATCCACATTAATTAATACCTCCTACAGACTGAATCATGTCTCCTCCCAATGCAGATTGTGGAGCCTGCCTCCCAGTATGATGACGTTTGGAGGTGGGGCTTATAGGAGGTGTAAAACCAAAAAACTACCAGAACTAACATCTGAATTCAGCAAAGTTGCAGGATACAAAATTAATACACAGAAATCTGTTGCATTTCTATACACTAATGATGAACTAGCAGAAAGAAAAATCAGGAAAACAATTCCATTCACAATTGCATCAAAAAGAATAAAATCCCTAGGAATAAACCTAACCAAGGAGGTGAAAGACCTATACCCTGAAAACTACAAGACACTCATGAGAGAAATGAAAGAAGATACCATTAAATGGAAATATATCCCATGCTCATGGACAGAAGAATTAATGTTGTCAAAATGGCCATCCTGCCTAAAGCAATCTGCAGATTCAATGCAACCCCTATCAAAACACTGACAGCATTCTTCTATAAACTAGAACAAATAGTTCTAAAATTCATATGGAACCACAAAAGACCCCAAATGCCAAAGCAATCCTGAGAAGAAAGAATAAAGCTACGGGTATTATGCTCCCTGACTTTAAGCTCTACTAAAAGCCAATTTGTAATCAAGCCAATTTAATCAAGCAATTTGGTACTGGCACAAGAACAGACCCATAGATCAATGGAAAAGAATAGACAGGCCCAGATATAAATCCAAACATATGTAGTCAATTAATACATAATAAAGGAGCCATGGACATACAATGGGGAAATGACAGCCTCTTCAACAACTGGTGTTGGCAAAATTAGACAGCTACATGCAAGAAAATGAAACTGGATTATTGTCTAACCCCATATACAAAAGTAAACTCAAAATGGATCAAAGACCTGAATGTAAGTCATGAAACCAAAAAACTCTTAGAAGAAAACTTAGGCAAAAATCTCTTGATAAACATGAGCAACTTTTTCCTGAATGCATCTCCCCGGGCAAGGGAAACAAAAGCAAAAATGAACAAATGGGAGTACATGAAGCTAAAAAGCTTCTGTACAGCAGAACAAAAAGGCACCCTACAGTATGGGAGAATATATTTATTTGTAAATGACATATCAAACAAGGGGTTAACATCCAAAATATATAAAGAACTCACATGCCTCAACACCCAAAAAGCAAATAACCCTATTAAAAAATGGGTGGAGGATACGAACAGGAACTTCTCCAAAGAAGAAATTCAGATGGCCAACAGGCACATGAAAAGATGCTCCACACCGCTAATTATGAGGGAAATGCAAATTAAAACCACATTGAGATATCACCTCACACCAGTTAGGATGGCCAACATAGAAAAGTCTAGTAACAACAAATGCTGGTGAGGATGCATAGAAAGGGGAATCCTCCTGCACTGCTGGTGGGAATGTAAACTAGTTCAACCACTGTGGAAAGCAATATGGAGGTTCCTCAAAAAACTAAAAATAGAAATACCATTTGACCCGGAAATTTCACTCTTAGGAATTTACCCAAAGAAAACAAATTCTCAGATTCAAAAAGGCACATGCACCCCTATGTTTATTGCAGCACTATTTACAATACCCAAGATATGGAAGCAACCTAAGTGTCCATCAGTAGATGAACAGACAAAGAAGACATGGTACATATACACAATGGAATACTATTCAGCCATAAGAAAGAAATAAATCCTACCATTTGCAACAACATGGATGGAGCTAGACAGTATTATGCTCAGTAAATAAGCCAGGTGGAGAAAGACAAGTGCCAAATGATTTCCCTCATTTGTGGAGTATAACAACGAAGCAAAACTGACGGAACAAAATAGCAGCAGACTCACAGACTCAAGAAGGGACTAGTGGTTACCAAAGGGGAGGGGTGGGAGTGGGCGGGTGGGGAGGGAGGGAGAAGGGGATTGTGGGGTGTCATGATTGGTGCACAAGGTGTGCGTGGGGTCAAGGGAAGACAGTGTAGCTCAGAGAAGACAAATAGGGACTCTGTGGCATCTTACTACACTGATGGATAGTGACTGCAATGGGGTATGGGGGGACTTGATAATAAGGGTGAATGTAGTAACCACATTGTTTTTCTTGTGAAACCTTCATAAGAGTGTATATCAATGAACCCCAAAAAAGAACAAAACACTCCAAAATCACCAAAAATCTATTTGAAATGATACAAAACAGAAGATGGAGTTAAATTTCAAGGTTCTTAGAGTCAGTGATGAGCAACAGTAAAAGAAATGATGGAAAAAGTAATTTTGTGGATGCTCAACTAGACAGTTCTGTTAATGGTCAAAAAGGGGAGCCAAACTCTAAAATTCACTACCCTATCTCCTCTCAACACCATGTTGTTATGCTGAAGCAGCCTCACAGACGATCGAAGTCCACGGAGAAGCTGACTCAGGTAAATGAATCCACTCCTCCCTCCCTCCCACCAGGAGCACCGAGCACCTGTCCAACGCCAGGCTCTCAGGGCCAGAGCGCAGGGGCAGCAGCCGAGAGCCTGCCCTCAAGGAGCTTTCACTCTCAGCTCCATCCACTTCCCAGCAGCGTCACCGTACACAGAGGACCTTGACTTAAGTTGTCCTCCCGGATGTTACACTGGGAAACTCTCATAAAATTCGTGCTGGTGTGCAACTTCCATTCTCAATTCAAAATGAATAAGCCAGAAGTCTACAGTTCTTTTAAGAGCTACTTAGAAAAGAATACAAAAGACTTTATAATTAACATGAAATTCAGAATCCCAGAATGTCGTCAGGAGGACACTTTGAGTTTAGTGTAATCTCGTATAAGAGACATTTCCATATATATGGAAAATTGTGCATTAAAATAAGAATCCAAGAAGTATTATATGTTGCTATTGAATCTGTGTTAACTCCTCTTTGTTAATAAATTCAACAGGTGATAATGATTACCTGTTCATACGCCCAGAACTTAACAGCTGTCTCAGGAGCAATTTTAATGACATTTGTACCATTTCCTCTCCAAAGGGAGCGGATACCTCCTTCTTTCACCATCTGTCGAAAGCCACTATGTATGTTCGTTTTTCCTGATTTTGAACCATGGACCTAAAAATAAAAGCAAAATGGTATAAAATACTGGTAGAATGTTCTTGTTCCTATTTCTAAAGTAACCATATGAACTCTACCTTCCCCAATACTGTCTATAACTGCAAGATGTACTTGAAAATAGAATACAGAACATTCATAAGACAACGTGAGCCAAACTGTACATTAAGCTACAGAACATCCTTTGAAATGTTAACAGGTTCAGTTCAAGAAAAATTTTTAAAGGTATTGCAGGTACTATATTACCCCTCCAAGAAGTAATACCGACATGAAATATAAATGGGTCTGGAAACAGCTGGGTGGTATGAATATCAAAGCCACAGATACCGGGATGCACACGGCCTCACACCAGAAGCAAAAAATGTACCAGCTATGGCTGAATCTCAAGACCACTCCAGGCAATAAATTCAGAAGAAAATGTACCAAATGTGTCACCTCCTGAGCACTGAAATTATTACTTGGCTCATACTACAGATGTGATAGCTATTAAAGTATACTAGACCTTATGATTTCCTTTATATACAAACTGCTTAAACCTAATTAAAAATAATTAAGGAAGTCAGAAATTCTTCTTTGTTTCAACTTACACAAAATGAGTTACTACTAAAAAAAAGAAAAAAGATGGGAGAGGCTGAAGACTAAAGGTCATCCGGAATTGTTAAACTATCTCCTATGTTGATTCCCTGATCAAATCACAATAAAAACTATGGACACCACTGATTTCTCTCAGACTGTTCAAGTACAGTTGGACAATATCCATCATATCATAGACAAATTTTCACAAATGCCTAGGATGCCTAACTGGTCTTCTTGGTTTCACTGGAGACGGCTGGTAATTATAGATCTGCTTTGGTTATGTAACTGTATTCCTATTATGTTAATGTGTGTGCACAATTTAATTAGTAGTTTAAAACCTATACATGCTTAAGTTACTCTACAAGAAGATATGTCAAAGAAATAATCAATCTTCCCATGTTTNTCAGGTGAGAATTTGGGGATCAACAGAGGTGAGGCTCAGAACCTCACCCCCCCTGCTTTGAGAGAAATCTTCTGCATCCGTGGATGTCTTGCTGCCCTTGTCTAGCCTGGATTAATACTTAGTCCATAGGCACACACCTGATCATCTGATCATCTACATTTGCCTTCTTACAGCACTAAACTATGTTTTCTACCTTTATCTTGCATCTACCTACCACTTCAGCATTTTATTAAAAATAATAATAATAATAATAATAATAATAAAGGGAGAAATGTGGGATCCACATATAAATCAAGTATAAAAATCAAACGAACATTCATATTTGACCTGATTGTTTATAGTTCATAATGCGTGATCAAAACTGAAAGTTTCTGTGATTACTGCCCTTGTACTGTTCACCATGTAAGAACTTATTCACTATGTAAGAATTTGTTCACCATGTAAGAACTTGTTCACTATGCTTCAGAAGATTGGAGACTGATGAAAATTAGGCTTGGGGTGGATTAATGATTGTGCATTGAGCATTGACTCCCCTATACAGAATTTTATTGTTGTTAACAACCATTTGATCAATTTTAAAAATTTAAAAAATTAAAAACTATGGACACCAAAGGTCCAGGTGAGCTTCTTTGGTAGGTCTGCAACACTCTGAGCATACTGTCACACATCAATGCCAGGAAAGTAACACATCACGGAGAGAGGACAACAGAAACTATGTATTTGTTACTTCTCCAGACCTGGCCCTATGCACTTCTTCCTTGGCTGATTCTAATCTGTATCTTTTCCCTGTAATAAACCATAAACATAAGTGTAAAATCTTCTAGTGATTCTGTGAGTCCTATTAAATTACTTAACCTAAAGGTAGTTTTGGGAACCCCCTTGAACTTACAGGAACTAAAATGTACAGATAACCATTTTATTTTAAATAAATTTTACATTGAAACATGACAAAGAAAAAGATGAATGCTTATTCAAGCTCCTTCAAAGTCAACTTACTGTTGTTCCTAAAGAAACACACCACACCAATTCCTCCTCCTTTTTCTTTAAAGCATTATCTTTACCCCTAGATATACACTGAGCCTCAGATACAGTCTGAATGGATGCTAATTTAAAATATCATCAGACATCAATTTGTACAGAAATCTAAGGACAAATATAAAACATGTTGATCATAAATATAACCACACAATCTTCAAAATATTTTTTAAGCAACCAGTATATTCCAATAGGGTGTTCAGTGTATCTGGGATTTTCACATACCTTAAATCATTTCATTCTACTGTCCTTGTTATATTCTTATTCCCACTCCAGAAGAAAGGAAAATAAGACCTCAGCATTCATGCAGTGTAAGAACCATGAGCTAATATGGGGATAAAATTCTCACCTCATTGTGTTACTATGTGTACTAAACAAGTCACCAGAAAGAGCACCAAATAAACTTTAAATTCCTTTTCAATTTGACCAGCCCAAGCTACACTTTAGTAAACAGTAAAGTCAGTATAGAAATCCAGGTCTTTTTCTGTTAACCTTGCATTAGAATAATTTTAAAAATTACATCCTGGTTCCAAGATTATAGATTTCATAAATATTCTACTTTTGAGAAAGTACATAAAAATAGAAGGAATATATAAATAATTTGAGGAGAACCCTACAATAATGGCTGGAGACTTTTTTCTAATTAAACATTCGAATTAAACATTTTTATAATTAAACACAGACCACCAAAGATTCAAAGTTCATCACACATGTATACCAACAATTCAAGGTTTGGTAAAACACTGAAATACTTACATGGACTGAATTTAGGGTAATACCAATAAAGTAGAGACTTTTTTAAAGGTATGAAAGACCGTTACTGAGAAGTTAAAAAAAAAATTTTTTTTTAAGCATCTTATTTCCCATTGTTTTAAAATATTTAGGACAGACTTACACACAAGATCATGCAGTTCACTTGCATCATGACTTTGAGGGGGTCCAAAGGGGCGGTACTAGTTTGAGAGACAGTGCCCGTGACGCCTCCAGCCAAAAGCTGCCGCCACCACTGTCCAGACTTCTTTTCATCTTCTGTGAATTCATCTGGAATTGTTAAACTATCTCCAATGTCAATTCCCTGTAAAAATAGAAAGAAGATCGCCATGATCCTTCAATTAAAAATAGATCATTACAGAAGGTTGGTTTGTTTTGGAAAGAATCATGTGTTATTTTGGAGTTAAGATATTATTTTATAGTATATTCCTTAGAAAGCATACTGAACCAACCTGAGCATATAAATTCACTCATTTATACTAAATGAAGTGCAATATCAGTTCATAAGACAGGCTAATTAACAGTAATTACAAATTTATAAAGCTAGCAACTACAACTTTCTTTCTTAATAGATTTAGAGCAACTTTTCTCCTCTTGGTCTAAGTCAAGTGAAAGGGAGGCATGTTGTCAGATGTAGTGAATCCTTATTAGCTACAAAAAGAAATGAGTTCATCAATTCTTGAAAGATACTCAAAATTATACCATAATATATTCTTTAAATGTATAAATAAAAGTGAAATAAAACTATGCATGTGAATATCCCTAAACTCATTCCTATACAGACTGTGTATAAATATTTTTATAAATCTGACTTGTCATTTAAAACATGAGCAGATTCTATCTAAAATTAGCTAACAGTGAGGTATTGTTTAAAATGATGCATCCTCTAATCTATTCTAAACATTCCTATAGATTACAAATATTGCTTGAGAGAAATGAAGTTTAGTATGGTAACATTTGTATAATTTATAATCCAAATGATTCTGGTATAAAAGATTTTACAGGTAAGAATGTAAGGACAAGAAATTATAATAAATAACACTCTCTTTCTTAATTTTACTATCAATAAAACACATACACAGTTGTAGCCTCAACTGTTATCAACTATCTCCAAATATATACAGTAAGGATTTGATTATGTAAATATAACTTCACATAAGTATAAAATGTATTGGGACAACTGAATTACTAATATGGTTTTATTTTATACTCACAGTTGAAAAGGCACTGAACACCAATAATTTTACAATGCTCTATGTAAGTTTAGGCATTATTACTAGTGGCAATGTGAACTCTGGCTTCATTTCTGCACATAAAATTTACTGAAGTCCATGAATAAGCATAAAAGACAAGACCATTAAAAACTCCTTCAAAGAGTTCATGTTGGTTTCAAAACTGGATTGTACAATAAACTGAACTTTATTTACACCAGTATATTTTAGCAGAGTATTAATGAAATTCATTAAAAGTAGAACTTTTTGAGGAATATAGACAGACGAGTGTGAAATGCTAAGTGGACTGAGCCAAAGACTTTTTTTAATCTTTAATGATTATTATTTTAAGAAACTTAAGCCAGAGATAAATCTAGTCAGGTGACTAAACAAGGAAAAAGTTTCAGAAGGGGGCTCTGGCCATTATCAATGGCTAAGGAAACAGATCCTCAGCAAGCATGAAGTGCTGAGATAAGTGAGGCAATATAGTATCTATAAGAAGTCACTTCCCTATGGCAGAATACCTAAATGCCAATAAAAACTGGACAGTGTATCTTCATAAGATTTTGCAGGCAGTACCTCTTTCAAGTTTTGAGAATGGAAAAAATAAGTCTCAAACATCTGCAATGTTTATGCATCTCGAGGTTTCTTAAGATACTCTGACTATACACCTAACAGGATAAGCAGAACTTGAAAAGTTAAGGAGCTGGTGGAACTTGGGCACCCTGGCCTGTGTTACAGATGCCCTCGGATAATCACCATGGCTGACAGCTCCAAATAGGCATGAATTAATGTAGATAGTGTACTTACAGTAGAATGCTTCCAGAAACGGATGATCTCCTCAATGTCTGTAACAGGATTCAATAAGAAATAGTCCCTCCATTCATTCCAGTCTACTGTCATTGTCCCATCAGCATCAATGCTGAAAAAATAAAAGAAGCTGATTAATGAACATAACTAAACTTATAAATAAAATTGACACTATTGGCCATTTTACAGAATAGCAGTTTCTTTTCCAACTTAATATTCTTACTAAGTTTAAAAAATCCCAATTCACAATAATAGGTTATTGGAAATGGCAGCAAGCATTTGATGGTCCGTTAGATAATTTTAATCATTTAGATGAAAATGGACACTGAAACTACAGCAAAATCTCACTAAAGACTATTTTTGGCACTCTGCCAAATTCTAAGTTAATAACCTATCAAATACTAAAGCTAGAAGGTAGAGATTGGGAGGTAATAATAAATGGATCTATGCTAGTTTTTTTCTTGCACTGGTTCAGAAAGAAATTTCTTAATGTTCTGTTGTAACATTTGGGTGTGATATTTGGAATATACCCAAAATACGCTATCAATTTCCTACTCAAATTTCCTCTAAGGTAAGAAAATAAGCAATGACTGTTAAAAAGTAAGAAAGAAAGAAAGTCAAACTTAGGGACAGGGACTTTTGAATCTTCAAAAATCCTGGTACCTCATCTTCAACATTTAAAATGAATAATATTATATAGCCTTAGATATTTTTCATTAACTTTTTGCTTTTTTTACAAGTTTCTTGGCAGTAATGCCATTTATATCTGTTTTTTCCTAAGACCAACTCTGACCTGTGCCATGATTTGGGCCATTTTGTTCACTACTGTATTCCAAGTACCTAAAGTGGTTGGTGCAAAGAAGGTGCTCATTTATTTGTTGAATTAATGCATATACCTGAAAAAAGTTTTGGACTGTAGTCTAAATTGATTATTTATTCTATACTTTGTGTGAAAATCACACATAAAGACGGCAGTCAAGTCAAATGCAATTTTCAGACAATTATTGTCATGTTTTCTTAAAAAAGGGCCACTTGTAATTTTGATCTGAGTATATAAAATCACAATTAAACTTCCATTTGTCCCAGAACACAAGTATTAACATTCCATATTTGCATGACAGTCCCTGATACTACTTATAACACTATTTTGGACTGTAATATTTATAGCTCTATTTTTATCACTATTTTCTATTTTAATGCAATCGTTTATGGTTTGACCCTACCCCCCTCCCACTTCCCACACATTCACACACGTATGGGCATCTTCCACAAGGCAAGGCTTTTTGTTGATTTTGTTTACTGATGTGACCAAAGTGTCTTGAACAGTGCCTGGCACAGAGTAAATAATAATGAATAAATGAATTTCAAATTCTGTAGCTTACAGCCACAAAACACTTAGTTTTGGTGAAGTTCTTAAATAAGATAGTCTCACAATGGACTTATATTGCCTTTCTCTTCAAATTACTAACGAGGTTGAACATCTCGAGTACCATATTCATTTGCTATTCATGTTTCCCCATGTGAAATGCCTGTTCATATCTTTTGCCCATTTGTCTAATGGGTTGTGTGGCTTAGTTATGTACAGTTCTTTATATATCAGATTTCAATCCTACAGGTTATAAGTTAGCAAATAACCTTCTCTTTGTCTTTTCACTTTGTTTATGGTTTCCATGAATAGATGCTCTTCATTTCAATAAAGCCGAAGTTATCAATCTTTTCATTTATGCCTCCTGACTTCCATGTTTTTCTTAAAATAAATTGTTCCCTACACTGAGATACAGATATTTTCTGTTTTTCCCCCTTGAAGTATTATGGCTTACCTTTCACATTTAGGCTGATTTTGTGTGTAGTCTGAAGTAGGATATAACTTCCTTTTTGTCTGCCTGCATAACAAGGTGCACCAGCCCCATTTAGTGAATAGTCTCTCCTTTTCCCAGTGATTTGCAAAGCTACTTCTCTTTTGTGGCAAATCCCAAATATGGATGGGTCTGTTTCTGGAGAACTATGTTCCATTTTTTAACTTGTCTATTTGTGTAGCAGTACCATTCGCTGTCTTAATTATCAATTAACGAGAACCCTTGATATCTGATAGGGTAGGTCTCCAGCTTCTTATGGCTCTTTATGAATATCTTGGTTATTCTTGGGGAGTTGCTCTTCAATATAAATTTTAGATTCAGCTTGACAAGTTCCTCAAAAAAAATTAAGTAGGCTGTTTTTTCCCAATGATATCGAATCACAGTTATCAATCTAGAGAAGAGGTACATTATTTCTGTAGCATGTCTTCTAATGAAATTCTTGAAGTTGCTCTTTTAAAAGTATTGAGCATAGTATATTTTGCTTTTCACATACCACTAATTTGGTTTGCTAATGTTTTCTTTAAATTATTTACACTAATATCATAAAAGATGTTGGCTTATAATTTCCCTCTTTCATTCATTGTCTGCTTTGGTGTTAAGTTATAGTGACCTCACAGAATGGATTGGATAGTGTACTTCACTCTGCAAATATCTGTAGATCTATTCTTTGATAGTTTGTAAAAACCATCTCGGGATGAAGTTTTCTTTATGGGAAAATTTTTAATTACTGATGCAATGTCTTTGTTAGAGTACTATTGGCTATTTGTTTTTTTTTAGTTTTGGGAAATTATATTTTTCTAGCAATACTTCTATTTCACATGTTTTCAAATTTATTGGTCTAAAATTATATTTTATTATACTTGAAAATGTCCTGATGTGTCTCTTTACATCTCATTTTTCTTTTTTCCTTCATCTCTCCAGAATTTTGTTTTTTTCCAACAACCAAAGTTTAGTTTTGTTGATCCTCTTATTGTATCTCTCTTTCTACTCCACTGCTCCCCTAGTTATATCCTTCTTTCCACTTTTGCTGAGATTATTCTGGTATTTTCCCTTAATTTAGCAAATTAATTTTCAGCCTTAATTCTTTCATAATATGAGCTTTAAGGCTATAAAATCTCCCTACATACCACCTTACCTATACCTCATATGTTTCAATATGTTATGTTTTCATTTCTTCAAGTCAAAATATCTTTAAATATCCAGTATGACTTCCTCTTTAACCCATAAGTTACTGAGAATATAATCACTTAAAAAACTATAAGAACTTCTACAGCTTATTTGTTATTGACTTCTAAATTGATAGTACTCAAAGAAGATTGTGGTGCCAATTCTTTGAAAGGTGTTGAGCTTGGCTTTATGGACTACTGTGAAATCAATTTCTATACATGTTCCATATGCACCAGAGGAAGAACAGTTTTTTTTGCCTAATCTTTTGGTTCAAGGTTCTGCTGTATGCTTATTAAAATCAAGCTTCTTATTTAGTTGAATCTCTTCTGTCTTGACAAAACCTTTTCCCCACTTCATCTACCAAATCCAGGAAATGTGTATTAAAATCTCTCACTGCTATGATGGATTTGTTGATTTATTCCTGGGATAAAAATCTTATATCTTTGTTGTGAATTTTCAAATGTGATGAACTTTATTTCCATTAATGCTTTTGACCTTATAATCTTATCTTGATATTATGTAGTTACCCCAGCTTGCTCTTCAGAGGATTTTCTTTAACTTTTGCCTTCATCTGACAATCTCTGTGTTCCGACAAAATTTATGTTAATTTTTATTTTGATATACACTAAAAAGTCTGCCAAAAATAAGCATCATAAAAAATATAATATAGTTTCATGTTACTATAAGGTTAATAATATTTTTCAGTGTATTCTGTCACAAAAATACCATGAAAATATTGAAATTTGTAAGTACCCACCAGGTTGCATACTAAACTGAGAAAATCCTGACTGGTCAGAAGGCAATTACCTCCTAACTTACTTTTCTCCCACCCTATGTCTTCCAGGAAAGATAATAATTTAACCTGTCCCATTTGAGAATGGAGCCGAAAGGAAAACAAGGCCTAACATTATTACAGGCCACATCTGGTAAGGTTTTATTGCACTTGAACTTATGTCGCCCATCTCATCTGCTTTCACTTGTCTCATCTTTTATTTTTTCCTCCTTTCATTTCTTTGTTGCCTTGTCAGAATTTCATGCTCTTTATTTACTTTGTTATTCCATTTCTTCTCTCCCTGGCTTACAAATTATGTATAGTTAATACCCACACCTCCAGTGATTTACCTTGAAATTTTTCCATTTACATGTGGCAAAATCTTAAGTTATTATTTGACCCCACTCGCTTGAATGAGAATTTTAATACAGATTATGCTCTCCTGACTTACATACTATTATTGTCTACTATTTCTGTTGTCCTTTTCTTAAATCCCACAATTGGTCATTATCATTATATTCATGGCTGTTTCCAATGCACTATGCCAACAGCTCAGAGACCACGAGCTAGGAGACAGACACCAGCAGTGTAGGGGGCATCCTGAGAGCCACTGCTTGACCCATTCCCCGAATACACTTTGCAAATGCTTCCATGTGCACACATGTCCTTTCCTCCACCAAGAATGTCCTTCCAGCCACCCTTTTTCACTAGCCTAATTTCTACCCAACTTTAACACATTGTTCAATATTTTCTGAGGCACACTATTGCCAAGTGCTAAGCACAGAACAGCTAACAAGACAGATGTGGTCTGTGTGCTCAAAGCTTACAGTGCAGTAGGAAGAACAGGTACCAAGCCATAGCGAGTAAGAGCTAGTATTCACTGAGCATTTGCTAGGCATTGTTCTAAACACTTCATGTGTAAACTTACTTAATCCTTAAAGCAATGCTACATACTTACTATTGTCTCCACTTTATAGACAGAGAGAGGCTAAGCATTTTGTTCTAGGTCACAGGGCTAGTAATTAGAGTGGAATTAAGTATTTCAACCAGGCATTCTAACTTCAGAAACTATACTTCTAACCACTAAGCTATAGAAATAAGCCCATGGTTAGAACCTGCAAGAACCTTGAAACAGATAAACAAGTTGCATAAGGAAAGAAAACTGATGTACAGGGGCTATTTTAGATAGGGCGGTAGATCTCCGAGGTAAAAACTCAAAGCTGGTAAAAGATAAGCGAAGAGTTTAGTCCTTTAGGCAGTGGGAATTCCAAGTAAAAGGCTCCAAAGTTGAAACAGACTTTAGTGAAGTTAAAGAAT